ATTTCTGTTTTTCATAATTAATACAATAAATATATGATTAATATATGTATACTTATATATATTGTGTATTGTTTATACATACGTATATTGTGTAAATATTTATCGTAGGCAAAATTTATGTATTAAGTCTACATGTACAAATACCATATCTTTTGTAAAAATATATTTTATTTGAAGTTTCAAAATTAATAATTTATATAAATACATTGCAGATGTCATAAAATAAAATAATATTAGATTTTATCAATTAAAATAAAAGTGAAAAATATTCTTCTACCTTCAAGACTCGAAAAACCCAGACTATTCACTTGGGAAGCAAACGTCTTAGGCGCACACCAACTGTCTAGTTTTGTTTCGTTTTGTTTTTATTTGTATCTTAAGTGCTTATGCATATTACATAGTTAATTTAGATATAATATTGTACTTAAGTTTTAGGTTGCGATGCCTGTCCGGAGACGTTTGGCGCATGTCCTGTGTTTTCTTTTCGCTTTTCAGTTCTTGTTGTGTAGATAGTGAGAACTGAGCTGTGACTAGGAGAAATTTACAATAAAAATCTGTCGCTTGTGGGTTGTGTTTGGCTTATGATCTATGGGGGAGGGGTTTTATGTGGTTAGTGGGCGCTTATACCTATGTTAGTTGCTTATATGTATTTATTTGCTTACGCTAATTATGTACAAGAATGTTTACAATGTTTACAGTGTTTTGCGCTTTAACAAGTTTGCTTGTTTTGTCGCATCTCAGACGGTTTGTGTTATGTGTTTATGTGTGTTGGGGTTGCTTATGCCCCCATAAAGGTTTAATTTTTGTCGCAATGTTTCTTATTAGGAGATTGGAGTGGTTTGGTAATCTGTAGTTCTGTTTATTGTTTGTGGATTGTATATATTCCGAAATTAGTGGCATTTTGCTGGCGCGGTGTATTTCCTTTATTGGTGTACGTCTGGGCCTGTTTGTTGCTACTCTGAGGCATTTATTTTGTGTCACTTGTAGTTTGTTTATATGTGTCTATGCTACTGTGTGTCATACCGGGCAGGCGTAGGTGAGGACGGGGGGTATCATTGTTTTATATAGCAATAGTTTAAGGTTGGTGGATAGTGATGCGGATTTTAGGAGATTGTAGTATTTTCACAGAATGGCGATGGCTTTTTTATTTATGATTGCGCTATGTGGTCCCCATGTGAGTCTGCTGTCTATGTGTATACCGAAGTATTTGACCGTATTTTGTATTGGTATTGAGGAGTTGTGGATTTTGATGGAGGCGGGTAGTTCTTTTTTGCATGTGATAAGGATGGCTTCTGTTTTGCTAGCGTTTATAATTAGTTTCCATTTCCTGAGTCTGCTTATAATTAAGTGTGCCGCGTTTTGAATTCTATTTATTGTTTTATGGGGCGAGATGCTGCTCGTGTAGAGCGCGATGTCGTCCGCATAGGCTGTTATGCTTATCTTCTTGGGCAGGTCATGAAAGGCGTGGGCAATAAATGTATTAAATAGGGTTGGAGAAAGTACGGACCCTTGCGGGACGCCGGCCGCTATACTATAGGTGCGATATTAAAATCCTGGGGGGTCAGGTATGTAGTCTCCGTGATAAGTGATCAATATTTCTCAAATTTTTCATTTCACTGAAAAGTTACAAAATGAAATTACAAAATAATTAAAAATAAAAAGTAACACCGTCACCACCGAGATTCAAAAGGAATCTCCTGATTGCTATTCATGGGCTCAGATTGCTCGAGCGTCACGAGGTAACGTGGATTGTTGGCGGAAAGTGCCGAACAGGCTACGTGCACGGACAGAGCTACCGATACATTTGCGTGAGAGCACGAGGACGGATATGTAGTGGGAGATGACGGTAGGTCATAGTGATGTAAGCGATTTGACCCACATCCCACGATTCTGGTATCACTGCCTACTATCCGACAAACCTAAAGTGAATCCTCTGACGTCACAGCCTAGCAAAATGGAAGCAAAATAGGCGGTTCAGGTCATCCCCACTACTCTTGGGTCTTACACTGCAGGCGCTTGAGGGGAAGTTGCGTTGTAGGTAAATGGTTTAGACAAACGAATTTCAGTCAGCTGTCGATAATGTAACACGATGATAAAAGAACGGAAAACTAAAAATTATTTGGTCGCCTTGTCCTCTTACCTACGTTGGCGCGTAAGACATATTTAATAGCGCAGACGTTAATTTCTAAGCGACTCATACACAATAAATTGTTACTGTAAAGGAAGCCTGAGGAAATGTATTAGTATTTTTTAACAGTTAGAAAACTAAAATGTAAATATTTTTCTCCTATTCCTGAATAATAAAAGTAGATTTCGGCGTATTAAAAAATTGCTTAAGGAGCTAAAAAATTTCTGGCTGCAATGAAAAATAGCGTGCCACCACAGACCGACAGCCACTATTTAATGTTAAAATTTTGAAAAATTTGACAAAATCAGACGACATGTCGTCACTTTAACCGTAATATTTCGGCTTTGTTTAAAGATAATATTGCGACCTTGGTCTCATTTCATAGCAATAAACATAGCAATAATCACTGCTAAAGTTTCAATTGCTAATTTGACACTGTTCCCACTCATAGAAAAATTTGGAAAAAATATTATTGGATTGCTTGAAATATAACCTGCAAAATAAGCTTATCGAAATAATAGACAAATTTTGGGAACATGGGATAAAAAAATTAAGTTGACCATGATGCACGTCGTTTGGCGTCGCGCAGGCATCTGTTCGCCTGTTTATGGTGTCTGCGCGAGGTAAACTTAATTTTTTTTCGAGTGCTTGAAAATATTATAACGGTCAATTATCGACTGCTCATCTGTTTACCGACTGCTCGAACGAGATCCGATCGTCATCTATTGTTCATAGAAGAGTAAGTGCTATAGCCTTATTCTATTCCTATTGGCTGACTATAAGGGAAGACCTAAAAGTAACTGCGATAGCCATATTCTATCCCTATTAGCTTCCTAACAGCGAGCTATCGCAAGATTCCCTACATCTACCAATTTTAGGCCCTGTGTGACGTCAGAGGCTTCACTTTAGGTTTGTCGGACAGTACTACAGATGGCGTTCAAAATTACTAACGTGATTTTTTATTTAGAACGACTTTGATCACTGAAATCGTAATTATTGATTAAAAAAAAAGAATTTATCTAATACGATATGATAATTCTCTTCTTATTAGGTAATAAATTATATTATTTTCAATTATTATACTAAATTATTACGTGAAATATGTTAAATACGTTATATTAAATATTTTTTAGAGTATACAGTCGTGATTTAACTTTATTCACAACTGTGATCGTGATTTTTTTATTTTCTTAGTGAATTTATAATTACTATAATCATAATACTTGATCAAATAACTTATTTAATATGATTTGAAAATAAATTGTTAGTAAAATAATTTGATACGATGTTCACATAATTTTATGAACATAATCAATGAAATAGAATGTAAATAGAAATTTCTTTAATCATTTATAAATGTCACAAGTTACCTTATATTGTATATATTTTGTATATATTTCATAGATTTTTATAATTTTATATTTATCAAAAATGCATGAACAGTTTATGCATTACACTTCTATTTATGTTTTATAAAAGCAATAGAATAAATATACAATAATCAGTAGAATATAATTATACCATATATGAGCCGTTACTTTTGAAAGTGGTATAAGTTCATTTTTTGAAAAAAATGAGTTAATGGTAGTTTTAGTCAGATATAGATATCCTCTTTTTATATTTATAATCACACAGTCAATGGTGTACAATATCCTCATAAATTAATGAAAAAAAGTTGAACTGTAAAATATTATCGCAAGGAATGTTTTTTTGAAGGTGGAATAAGTCCATTCGTAATAACGATAATTGAAACAACCGTTCGCTAACCGTGGTTTGAAACTTGGCACGCGTATAGCAAAACAATCGAAGATCATATGCTGCGAGTTTCATTTTTTTTTCTGTTTTTTATAGTTTTAAAAACATTACCCGAATTGATTAACGTTTGCCAATATTTTTAAGTAGATTCAAACGCAAACCCTTAAATATCTCGATGTATGAAGTAAAGGACTTATACCACTTTCAAAAACAACGGCTCATATAATATAGTGTATTAATATAGATAATGTAATATAAATTAAAATATAATAAAACAAACTGTAAATTCATGGTTGTGTATTTCTTTATTATGTCTCCAACATTTAGGTTTAATGACAATATAATTATATTCATTATTAATATGTAATATCGGAAATATTTATTTAAGAATACAAAAAATATGGTACTTGTGATTATGAAAGTGACATAAACCAAACATTTTTCATACAAAAATTCTTGCATACCATTGTAATGTAAATTAATGTAACATAGATTAAATTAAAATTTCAACTTCTCTAAGTCTTGCATTTTCATAATTATCAGCACATATAAAAATATACATATTATTATTAGATAGATAGGTAGATAAAATCTTTAATTCAGTGTTACATGCCAAGGAATGGACTTAGTTTTACAAAAATATATTTCTATTCCTTTCATACTTTTAAATATAGCATGATTAAAATATTATATATACAATAGGATGTAACTAATTTTTGAAGCGTATAGCCGAAAATCGAAACAGTATTAGTGGAATTTATCCTTTTAAGCAGTTTGAAGGAAAGGCAGTGTGATGCATTCTCAACTCCACCCGCGAAATGCGATCACTGTTAAAGATTGGAAATCTTCTTCTCGTGTTCAGTTTCATTTTTAACGTGCTAAAAGAAAGATCATGAGTAAAATGTCTGTCCAAGCCAAAGCATTTGGAGGAACTGATGTGTGGAGCTTTTTGACACCAGTTAGCAATACTGGATATGCTACCTGCAAAATATGTAAAAAAAAATTATCGTACAAGACAACCACTTCAAATTTAAAAAAACATTTAAGTGCTGTTCATCCTACTATTTCACTAGCATGGAGAACACATCAGGTATATTTAATTATAAGATGTAATAAGTAAATTGTAACTTAGTTTTTATCCATATATGCAAAATAAAATAATATAAAAAAAAAGTAATTATACTTAAATCTACAAGCATTCTTTTGCATCCTTTCATGTATCTATCGATTGTAGAATATTTTTTTGTTTATTTTCTTTCAGTTACAGCCATCACAATTTATAATTAGAGCCAGACTCAACTTGAACTAAGCAACATTGTATCACCACCACATTGTATCAGTACCACAAGATAGTCCAGGGCCAGCTGTAAATTTATTAACATCAAATCAACTACAAATAACGACATTTTTACCAGAAAAAATGTCAACAATAAACCGTAAAGTTTATAAAAGATCTGCAACCATTCAGAATAGTAGAAGACATTGGATTCAAAGAATTTATTAAGGCATTAAATCATAGGCAATAAGGCATAAAGTATTAAAGATTCAACTTACGCCTGTAATTTACAATCATTTATTTATCCATTATTCTTCATTAATCCTTTCTCTTATGCGATATAAATTTTGGTGCGTTAATATAAAGTATATAGGTTATGTCGACATGAAAGAACACTTACCCTCTCCAGTAATCAGAAGCGATGACGAAAAATCACCGTGATTGGGAACAAACGTGATCAAATCACTCGTGATTCAAAAGTAGCAGTTCTAGCCATCATTAATCACTAGCTAGTACATTTTGTAAGGACTTTATTACGGCAAAAACATCGTGTATGTTTTCCCCTATAGCTAAGCTGCCGATATACATGTGTGCGTTTGCAACGGCGTCCTTCCTTCTTCCTTGTGAGACGCCGATGTGTTTGGAGTTATAGCACGTTACAGCAATCATGAAATAGTATTTTTGTAATCGTATTTTATAAAGGTATAGTATTTGTCACTAGAGAATATTTATATTTTAGAGAAAGTTCTTTTAGATTATACAGTAGAAAAAATATAATGTAAAACGGTCGTCGCGGCGTATAATAACTATAAAAATGCAATTACAAAAATAACACTATTTTAAGACTGCTGTACCGCGCTGTAATTCCGAACACATCGGCGTCTACCAGAGAAGGAGGAAGAACGCCGTTGCAACACAATATACTCCACGCCACGTAGATGATGTGTCAGGAGTCTTATTTTAGGGAGAAACGTACACGACGTTTTTTCCGTGATGAAGTCCCTAAAACTTCAATTCATTCGCGCCATTTAACATTATTTATTAGTACTAAACATATTAGGTTACACACGCACACGCACTAGCTATAGAAAGGACCGTGTCGCGTTTTCCGATATTTAAAAGTTCATGACGTTCATAGTTAAAGAAATATATAATTTCAATTTTTATAATTAATGTAACATTTAAAATGATTTGTTTCTTACAAGTATAATATAACCAACATGTGCGCACACAATGCATAGATTTAACTCTTAATTTGTACATGTGGTACATGCTTTAGTTTTTGCTAATTAACTAATTTTAATATCTGCTGCAATATAAGTTCTACATTTTCACTATTATTTGTCACTTTCAAATCCCATGTGTTTATATCATCCAGGTCACATTCAGTTTCAGAATCATCAATGCCTGTGTAAAATATACTTTGTAATTATAATAATTCTTGTATATAATTTGTATTATAATCATTTCTAACTTCCATTTAATAATTACACTTTAACAATTAAATTTTTCTTCATATACCTGAAACGAACATCCAACCACGTTTCTTCCTAATTACATCATCTGATACGATACGAATTGTTTTGCATGCATCTCCAAAATTTTGTATAAACCATTGTATGTCAGTTTTTCTTCTGACATCACTCACTATCCAAATTGGTTTATTGTGTGCTAAAAACGCATTGGTATATATTGTACTGAATATTAATTTTCGACAGAAAAAAATTAACTACCATTACACATGTCTATAGCTGCACGACAAAAGTAGCCATAATCTTGCTTTCTAATACTTTCTCCCCATTTTGCCATTTTATAACGATAATTTTCTTTATATTCTCCATCTCCTAAAAGTTGATCGATATCCAAACCCTGAGATTTAGCCCAATGTATTTTAATTGGCCCCGATAATTTTATAATGACGCTGCTGTCAAAACCAATTCTAATAAAAATACACTTCATTAATTATGTCAAATTAATGTTTCACGCCACCGATACTATTACTATTATTTGTAGTAATTATCCTTAATATTATAACTACAAAAAGTTTATCACCTTTCTTGCAAAACGTTTGTAATATAATCCTTGCCCGATTTCCTTTTGCCACTGAATAATAAAATTACTCGTGGTTTGCAAGTTTTTTCGAGATTTATTGCAGAACGATCATCGGTACGGTGACCTGTCGCCATATTGAATTCGCGCAACAATCATTTAAATATCAAATTACTATAAGATTGTCCTGTTTGCGAAATTTTCAAAAATTACCAAAATTCATTATTATTGTGTATAAATTTGCATACCTACTTCGAGATCAGTCAAATTAAAACAAATATTTGGTTAAGAATATTTAACGTAACTATTTAACCCCTCTGCTTTCAATTGCTTTCATAATTTAATTATTAATTTCCTTCTATTCTGCTTCTAATATAATAGCGTTTATTATTGTTTGGTAATAATTCTTTGACTAACGTAACTTTATCTAAAGATATTAGCTGTAAATGTGCAAGATTAAAGTGCTTATTGTTAGAATGCAAAGTACTTACTCTGTGATATTTGGATGTTAATCAATCACAGGGCATACGCACAATTTTTACGTTTCAGTTTTATATCAAAATTTGAAAAGGCCAATACAATAAGGATATACTAGCTCTGTCGTATTACGAAAATTACTAAATTAAAGTCTTTAACAATAAAACTGTGAACTATAAAAACAAGAATTAGTAAAAATTCTAGAGGATATGTGCATAGTAAATCCTCTCCGTGTCCCTACTGTTCCTGCACGTATGGATGTTATTCCTACACCTATGCTATCTTTTTTGGAGTCAGTCAAGAATACGATGTGTATAACGTGACGCGGTTCTTTTGACGAGTTCTCCACTTGACAGTTCATAATACAATAGCTTTTTTGTAACTGAAATTTTTTTAAACATATTGGTGCAATTTTTCTGATTCAAATGAGATCAAATGGGATAATGTGTACAGATATTTCATGCATTTTCTTAACAATCCGTTCTTTTTTAATTCATTCAAAGCGATAATGAACTAAAATGGGTTACTCAATAAGTATTAATAAGTAAATTTTGTTCAAATTATATCGTGTTTGGTCTCATTTTGATCAGAACAATCTCATCAACATATCAATTCTTTATACAGAAAAAATTAATAATAAAAACGCTGGTGTTTAAATCGCTCGATTGCCTCAACTTTCGTTTCATTCTTCTCTTTTATTCATTGTCCTTGTCTTCCTTCGGCGAACTACAAAGGCGAACTGCGAGACTCGAAAAACAGTTTCCCTCTACTGAAACTGTCCCTATTGAGTTCCAGCTGAGAGACAATGTGAGAAGCTTTACTGTGTATGGAGGATGAACATATATATAACAATAGATCAGGATGAAAGAGATACAAATTCATTTTTCAAACTTTTACTATAACAAAACTTTCAGATAGCTGAAGAGACTTGCGCTTTTCTGCTTTTTTTAGTTGCTCTTTTGGTTTCAAATTATGCTTCTTTGCAAAACGTTGGTTCCTCAGGAACTTCAGATCCATCTAAAAAAAAAAAAGTGTAAAACAATACGGTTGCAGATATAAAAGCTGTAAAGATATTCAGGTATATCATGGCTAATTTCATAAAGAATTACCTAATGAACTTTATGAACAGAAACTTATAAACATAATATGGTTGTACTATAAAATGTATTAGAATTTGAAATTATATTTATCTTTATAATTATATATGAATGATACAATCATAAAAATCAAGACAATCACTTAAAAACTTTTGGACTTACACCAAGCGTGGACTCATGTCTGTAACGTTTTGGTTTTTTGATACCATTACGGTGAGCCTTTCGATCTACCAAACAAAAGGAAAACAATTTTATTTTCTTCCATATTTAAAAAAAATCATGTATTTACATTAGAGATCATGGCTTTGACATGTATTAAAGATACACTTGTAACATGTATTACAGAATTCAAAATCTGTATTCTTAAAACATGTTGTCACAGATATTTAAATATATGTATATTTAGAAATTTCTATTTTATGTGTACTTAAATATGTGTCCATATTTTAATTCGTATAATTAACATGACAAATTTGGAGAAACCAAATATGGCCTTACAAATTTGCTAAATTGCAGGTAACAATTACAAATTTCGATATAATACAAAAGGAACACAGATTTAAAAAAAAAGAAGATAAATACACATAAATAGAAATTTTTAAATACAAATGTACCAAGTGCGGTAAAAATTACATGGATTGTAATATAGTTAACTTTAATACATGTGAAACAAGGACCTCTACTTTATGTATTTATGGATTTCTATAATAAAATAAAACAGTAGACATTCTTGGCTGTACTCACTTTGGTTATGATTAGTATGATTTTTAGACTTTGCCATTTTCTTGTATTAAAGGACCTACAAAAGTAATAATTACAATAAAATACAGCATAAAACATCATAAACAGTATTTGAGGTTAAGAATTTTGAGATATAGAATCGAATTACACGACGAAATTAGAAAAATAATATATCATTACAAATTAGTATAGAATACTGCAGTTTAATCATAAAAACAATTTACTGTTACACTTATGTGAGTTACGAAAAAGATTATTTGGATATACAATAATGAAATTTCTTACCTACGTAAATTATCGACAAGCTCTCAAAAGCGGAAGCGAGAGAAAGGGAGGAAAAAAATGGTAAAAGACGACAGTAGCGCCAAATGTAATTTCTTTTGCGGTCAAGCAACAGCTTCCAAAGTGTGCCACAGAGCGGTGCAAACATTGTTGTAGGAAAAGGCTCGCGCACACCGGATGACGTAGAATACTGATGAAACGGTGATTTTTCGTCATCGCTTCTGATTACTGGAGAGGGTAAGTGTTCTTTCATGTCGACATAACCTATATACTTTATATTAACGCACCAAAATTTATATCGCATAAGAGAAAGGATTAATGAAGAATAATGGATAAATAAATGATTGTAAATTACAGGCGTAAGTTGAATCTTTAATACTTTATGCCTTATTGCCTATGATTTAATGCCTTAATAAATTCTTTGAATCCAATGTCTTCTACTATTCTGAATGGTTGCAGATCTTTTATAAACTTTACGGTTTATTGTTGACATTTTTTCTGGTAAAAATGTCGTTATTTGTAGTTGATTTGATGTTAATAAATTTACAGCTGGCCCTGGACTATCTTGTGGTACTGATACAATGTGGTGGTGATACAATGTTGCTTAGTTCAAGTTGAGTCTGGCTCTAATTATAAATTGTGATGGCTGTAACTGAAAGAAAATAAACAAAAAAATATTCTACAATCGATAGATACATGAAAGGATGCAAAAGAATGCTTGTAGATTTAAGTATAATTACTTTTTTTTTATATTATTTTATTTTGCATATATGGATAAAAACTAAGTTACAATTTACTTATTACATCTTATAATTAAATATACCTGATGTGTTCTCCATGCTAGTGAAATAGTAGGATGAACAGCACTTAAATGTTTTTTTAAATTTGAAGTGGTTGTCTTGTACGATAATTTTTTTTTACATATTTTGCAGGTAGCATATCCAGTATTGCTAACTGGTGTCAAAAAGCTCCACACATCAGTTCCTCCAAATGCTTTGGCTTGGACAGACATTTTACTCATGATCTTTCTTTTAGCACGTTAAAAATGAAACTGAACACGAGAAGAAGATTTCCAATCTTTAACAGTGATCGCATTTCGCGGGTGGAGTTGAGAATGCATCACACTGCCTTTCCTTCAAACTGCTTAAAAGGATAAATTCCACTAATACTGTTTCGATTTTCGGCTATACGCTTCAAAAATTAGTTACATCCTATTGTATATATAATATTTTAATCATGCTATATTTAAAAGTATGAAAGGAATAGAAATATATTTTTGTAAAACTAAGTCCATTCCTTAGCATGTAACGCTGAATTAAAGATTTTATCTACCTATCTATCTGATAATAATATGTATATTTTTATATGTGCTGATAATTATGAAAATGCAAGACTTAGAGAAGTTGAAATTTTAATTTAATCTATGTTACATTAATTTACATTACAATGGTATGCAAGAATTTTTGTATGAAAAATGTTTGGTTTATGTCACTTTCATAATCACAAGTACCATATTTTTTGTATTCTTAAATAAATATTTCCGATATTACATATTAATAATGAATATAATTATATTGTCATTAAACCTAAATGTTGGAGACATAATAAAGAAATACACAACCATGAATTTACAGTTTGTTTTATTATATTTTAATTTATATTACATTATCTATATTAATACACTATATTATATGAGCCGTTGTTTTTGAAAGTGGTATAAGTCCTTTACTTCATACATCGAGATATTTAAGGGTTTGCGTTTGAATCTACTTAAAAATATTGGCAAACGTTAATCAATTCGGGTAATGTTTTTAAAACTATAAAAAACAGAAAAAAAAATGAAACTCGCAGCATATGATCTTCGATTGTTTTGCTATACGCGTGCCAAGTTTCAAACCACGGTTAGCGAACGGTTGTTTCAATTATCGTTATTACGAATGGACTTATTCCACCTTCAAAAAAACATTCCTTGCGATAATATTTTACAGTTCAACTTTTTTTCATTAATTTATGAGGATATTGTACACCATTGACTGTGTGATTATAAATATAAAAAGAGGATATCTATATCTGACTAAAACTACCATTAACTCATTTTTTTCAAAAAATGAACTTATACCACTTTCAAAAGTAACGGCTCATATATGGTATAATTATATTCTACTGATTATTGTATATTTATTCTATTGCTTTTATAAAACATAAATAGAAGTGTAATGCATAAACTGTTCATGCATTTTTGATAAATATAAAATTATAAAAATCTATGAAATATATACAAAATATATACAATATAAGGTAACTTGTGACATTTATAAATGATTAAAGAAATTTCTATTTACATTCTATTTCATTGATTATGTTCATAAAATTATGTGAACATCGTATCAAATTATTTTACTAACAATTTATTTTCAAATCATATTAAATAAGTTATTTGATCAAGTATTATGATTATAGTAATTATAAATTCACTAAGAAAATAAAAAAATCACGATCACAGTTGTGAATAAAGTTAAATCACGACTGTATACTCTAAAAAATATTTAATATAACGTATTTAACATATTTCACGTAATAATTTAGTATAATAATTGAAAATAATATAATTTATTACCTAATAAGAAGAGAATTATCATATCGTATTAGATAAATTTTTTTTTTTTAATCAATAATTACGATTTCAGTGATCAAAGTCATTCTAAATAAAAAATCACCGTGATAAATTACTGTTAGTGATCTTGAACGCCATCTCTAGTTGCTGGGGTGACTCTGAACAACTTTTTCCTTTATCAAAATGCTGGTTGAAGTTTCGTTTTTGAATTATTAACGAAAAACATTGGCCAATCAGAGAGCACACTCAACCACAAGAGCGCGGATTCTTATCCGCGCGCGATCGTGAACAAACGCACTGGCACAGCGTGGGTATCGAGGGAAGCGTGAATCCTTATTTTTTTTTTCTTTAACGTGGAGGAAATCTTCCAAAACGACCTGCCCTCACTCTTTATAAGACATTGGACGCGTACTTTGGCAAACGACGTTTACACCACGCAATCACAGTATTAACGCAGCTTCCCGCGCTTCTCGTGGGTTGGAAGGTCGGGTTGGCGTTGGTAAATTATTGCACGTGTATGTGCCAACTACTTATGATCACGATTGTAATCGCGACTTTATTTGTGGTGTTGATTATTGCGGACTGGGCCGCACTGGTGTATCAAAGTGTCGAATGTTGCGTGTTAGAACGCTCAAAACTGTTGTCGATTGTTTCTGAATGTATTAGAATCTGCCGTGTGTCGTGAAGTGGCTGTATACATATGTATATGTTCCTTTGCCAAAATGGGGAGTTTACCTAGTTGGCAAATCATGGGCCTTTCACCCCCTAGAGCCGCTCTCCTAGGCCCTCGTGCACTCCCCCGTGGTCCGCAGAGTAGGGCGGTGGCAGAGAGGGAGAGACGGTCCCAAACGGGGGTGTCAGCCCCGCGTGGCGATTTTGTCGAAACGTTGACTTTGCGGGTTTATGGCATGTTTGCCGTTACTGAGCACGCAGAGGCAAGTACCGGCTTACCATGTGGCCCGCAGAAGTGGAGAATTTCCGCGGACATCAGGTAATAAGCCGGATTTGCCCTCTGGCTTGAATAGGCTATTGTTATCAAAGAACTTGTAGAAAAAACTTCTCAAAAGTAACGTCGTCTGGAATCCGTGCCATAAACCTCTGTTGGTTAAACACACAGTCTTGTAGAAATATATACAGTAAAGATTGGGTAAGAGTTCCAAATTCGGGACCGCTGTGGAACAGCTACGAAAAAGGTAGTAGGTTTTTCAAACTCTTTGTATTTTACCGACACCGACGGACGCAGAAAGAGACAGCAGATAAAGAAGAGAGAGGTATTGAAAGTCAAGCCAGTCCTAAAATATTAAACACCTACATATCGGTGAGACAACACTAATACAAAAGAAAAACTTTTTTATTTTTTGTGTTTTGCTGATAAAAATTTGACTAACATATCTATGATATTTTTCTGATTAAAATGAGAGCAAACACGGTATAATTCGGTTTACATTTAGTTACTTAATAAGAAATTCCACACATACATAATTACGCCCTCCTTATAAATAATTAATACATATTTACATACATCCACACTTTATTATGTCTTTACTATATCTATTAAATGTAAGACACCTAAACAAGATTACATATAAGGATTTACAAAACGTTATTGAAAATTCTAAGATGATACATAATTAAAAAATATATGAGTGTAACAACCATCAACGAAGACGGCGACAAAAATTTCCATTCCGTGAGAGGAAATGAGAGGGACGACTCTCTATCCTTGTCGACAATCAAATAATCGCGAAGCGATAGAAGTTTCCAGAACAAACTATGTACATAGCTCGCGATCCGCGGTAGACTCGTAGTTTTACGCGGGAGTCTTGCGGTTTCGTGCGGGAAGCCACTTAGCGACGCGACTTGTTGATAAGCCGCGCTTCATTAGCAACAGTCAAATATAAATATCACGGCCGTGGACGCGGTCAAGCATCATCAGTCTTGCTGATTCCTGCGTCATTCTTGTCATTCTTCATTCTTGCTGATTCTTGCATTCATTCCGGCTCATTCTTGCATTCTTGCTCCTGCTCAGTCATTCTTGCAGTCCGGCTGCCGTCGAGTTCAGTTCACTCTTTGCGCTCTGCGTTCTGCCCGTGCTAATCTTTCTTGCATTAGCAAAGTATAGTATTATATCTACCCGGTACTGGCCCTTCACTACATCACTGGAGGACGAAACTACCAGGATGTCTACCACCCTGAAACGCCAATTTGGCGTAGGCACTTCCACTGTGGGTCCGAACGACGCTCGGACAATCATCACCCCGGATCCCTCGTCGCCACATGGTGAGTCAATTCCCGTTACTGCCATGAGCAGCAAGAAACCAAAGATTTCTGAACCATCGTGTTCATACGCTAACGTTTCTACAAAGAATCGTTTTGATATCTTCAACTCGAATCCTGCCTGCGCTGAGCTATTCTCAGAACTTTCTAGTGGCTTAAATAACAACAATCC